TAAGTGAGAAATGTTTCGGCTCCCATCCAGAGGACTTCTTCAGTCTGCAGACAGCCAGCCAGATCTGCCCCATAGGTAGTTTTCACTGCTGTGTTTCAAGCCAACCTCCTGTTGGAATCTCAGAAGCAGGCTTTTAACATGTGCAAACAGCGCACGCCCATCCACAACCTTCAGTCATCACGTACAACAATCACATGTTTTAGGCCGGATGGCCAACTTGCTACTCACAGAAACAGCCTGGAACATATCTACCTGGATGATTGAGCTTACAAACCTTTTTCGATATCTAACAAGGTTAAGTCAGGTCCTCTGGATGGATTCTTCTTGTCGAAACGTTTCATCTTTTATCCAGAAGACTTCTTCAGTCTGAGGAGCTGCAACAAACTCAGTCTTATAAATAACATCTTCTCATAGTGGATCAACCAGTTTGCTGGTGACATCCAGAACTAGCTCAGAGTATGTGACGCAAATGACTCTCAGCTACTACCAAATCTACTGTCAGCTCAGTATTTCCAGAACTGATGTGTTTTGGTAAACTAATATCAGCTACAACCACAATAAACTTTAAAATAGTTTGTAAAATTCACTGAGCTAGTTCCATTTTTGAACTTTACAGGATCAGCTGGCTGTGGCAGCCATCTTGAATCAGTTCACGTTAATCATTTAGGGATTATTTCCTGAAAGTTTTGTAAAAATCCAACCAAGATATTTTGCTAACAGACAAGACACAGGGACACCTTATTTTGAAAGACCCAAATTAATATGAGCAATGTTTAAATGAGAATATGTTTGTTTGTATTTTTAATACCAAAGTTGATTGCATCACATCTTTATGATGAAGTCTCTAATAATTTGTTTCCTAATCTCTTAACCAAATTACATCTTTATTCTTTTGTAATTTAAATATTTAAAACAAAGAGTTTTTGTTTTCTTTTGTTCCGTTCTTATAACAGAGACATAACTGAGAAACTCCACATTTGTTGAGAACATGAAAAAAGCCACACAACAACATTTATTAACAACAAGTAATGTTTATTACTGCGTTTATTAATCTAAATTCAAATGGAAAGCATCTCTTAGTATATCTCTGTAACGTTTATCCTTGTTGCGCTACACTAAAGCAGAGCAGAAGGCTGACATTCATTTAGAGCTTTGAATTTTTTATTTTTTTTTACAGTAAAGCAAAATGTGAACTCCTCCAACGAGGAGAAATGTAAACAGTTTATTGTCCAGAGCTGATCCAGTCACGTAAATCGACTGAAAATAAAATAAATCTAGAAAAGTTCTTTTTTAATCTACATTCAGGAGCTGAAGCCGGATGCTGCTGAGGGTCTGAACAGAAAAAAAGAGCTAAACCTGCAGCTGAACGTCCCAGGTGTTGAGTTCCACCTCAGAGGCTCCTGGATCTGCTGGGTGCAGTTCTGCTCCAGTCCTACAGGGGGCGCTGGTCGAGCACGAGAGTCCTTTTTAAGCAGGAAGACCAGCTGTGTCTCTGAACAGTTAAAACCAGCTGAACACCTGTAAAGGAGACGGTTACCTGTGAAAACCGGGAAACTTTTCACATGTAAAGAATTCTGGGAACTTACAGAAACAATCTTGATTTTTTGTGATTGAGCAATTTTTTTTTTTTTTTTTAAGAAGAGTGAATTCTACGACTCACAATAAAATGTCACCAATATATCAAGACTTTTGGTGTAATTTATAGGGTGTCGTTTGTAAAGTTACACAGTCAAAAATTAACATCAGTATTTTGGTTTATTTAACCTTTCGTAAGGAACCCCCCCCCCCCCCCCCCCATCACATTTTCACCATGTTATACATACATTTATAAATATCATAGTTCACTAACTAAATATTTCATCTACAATCTAAATATTTAGTTTACAAATTAAATACTTAACTTGCAAGTTAATATTTATATTAATTAATATATTAATTAATATTTATTAAGTAAATATTTAGATTTACAATAAATATTTAGTTTAAAAACTAAATGTTTATGTCCAAGCTAAATGTTTAACTTACAAACTAAATATTTAACTTGCAACTTAAATATTTAGTTAGCAAGTTAAATATTTAGATCCACACTAAATATTTAGTTAATAAACTACATGTTTATGTCCAAGATAAATGTTTAATTTACAAACTAAATATTTAGTTTGTAAACTAAATTTTTAGGTGTAAATTAAATATTTAATTTCCAAGCTAAATATTTATTGTCTAAACTAAATATTTAATTTCCAAACCAAACATTTTATTTTTAAGCTAAACATTTAATTCCTAAACTAAATATTTAATTTGCTAACTAAATAGTTAGCTTGGACCTAAATATTTATTTTTCAAACTGAACATTTAATTTCCAAAATAAATTTTTAATTTGCTAACTAAATATTTAGGTCTGACATAAATATTTAACTTGCTAGCTAAATATTTAGTTAATTCAACATTTAGCTTGGACATAAACATTTAGTTTGTAAACTAAATATTTAGTGCGGAGCTAAATATTTAGTCTACTAACTAAATATTTAACTTGCAAGTTAAGTATTTAGTTTGTAAACTAAATATTTAGCTTGTACTGTAAATATTTAGTTGGGAACTATGACATTTATAAATGTATGGATAACATGGATAAAATATGACTATGAAATTATTATTTTTTCGTATTAAAGGCTAAATAAACCAACATATTGCTGTTAATGTTTGACTGTACAAACAGCACCCCATAGAAATTCAAATAAAGCAAAATATGAACCCATAACCTGAAAAAGTCCACCCATCTCCGTCTCAAGATTACCCAGAAGGCCCTGCAGTTCACAATCTCTTGTGTTCAAGTACAACATGTAAATCCAATAATGCAAACTGAAATTAGACAGCGACCGGCAGAACGTCTGGTTTCTGTAAAACTTCATCATGTAACGAAGCCAAAGTACAACTGCAATATTGAAATTTATATTTAACCTTTATTTTTTTGGAGCTACTACAATCACAGTGTGGATTTCTTTTTAATTTAAAAAGATGCAATTAAATGCATCACAAATCTTCACGTAGTAACAAAGGTGCAGAGCCTCATTTTCTGGGCCCGCCCACTTTTCACCTGCGCTGTGACTGGTTTGTTTTCCTGCCAGTTAAAGTCACCGTGCAGACCTCAGCCTTCTCTCCTGACAGCGAAGTCCGAACCAATGAGAGCTCCTTCAAACATGTTTCTGCCCGGAGATACAAATTTAAAAGAATCTAATTGGACAACAATACTCTTTGAAGGTGCGGACGGTCCTGAGGGTTCCCCACTGGATAACTCTGATGAGCTAACAATTAGTCCAAATGTGCAAGGAAACACTGAGCTGACTCCTGTAAAGTTTTCTGCCTCAGTCTGTGGAACTGTTTCTGATGAAACCTGTACACCCCTACCAGGTTCATGTGACACTCTTTTTGTTGACAGAAATAATACAAAAGTGACCCTGGCTAGCTGCTGGTGCTATCTGTGCTGGCAAGTAACCACAGAACTCCACGTAAACAAGCGCTACGCAGACGTCCCCGTCGCTGAGGGAGTTGAATAGTGAATAGTTTTTTTAGACGAGTGTTTTTCTGGGCTGGAACTGAACAGAGGCCGTAAGTGAACCTTAATGTTTTTGGTGCAAGATATTCAAGTGGGGAGGAGCTAGAAGAACAGAGGGAGGGTTTCTGAAGCAGCAAACATTCACAAACCCTGGCGAACGTAGGGAGCAAGTTCATCCACTACCAGGTGCAATGGTGGAGCCAGGGGGTGGCCAGTGGTGCCCTTGGCCACCATAGCTTAATCTTTCACCACCCCATGGCCCACCCCAATCTTTTGACTTTTAAGCAATAAAAACTAGAAAGCAAAGTTTACTCAAATGACAGAGATGATCAGTTTACAAACATATATATGGTGGTGGCCATATTGGATTTTGATGTGGCAACCCAGTTTTTCAAAGGAACCTTTATTAAACCTGCAGCCGCACACTAAGGTCAGCACCTCACTTATTTTCCAGTTATCGTGCTCACAAAATGCATGGATGGACTGGTGGAGAGGATTTCCCATTCTCTCTCTTTGCTCTGCGACGGGGGACACAAGTGTGTGATGCAAACCTGTCAAAGGTGTAAAATCCTACAAAGTGTTTTAAAACAGCTCTTCTCTAAACATTGTATTCAAGTGGCCACTTTGCTTTTGGATCCTGTTGGACTAGTCATCAGAATTAAACTGTTTTTGTCCAAACTGAGGTAGTTCAAAGAGCAATCTACACCAGGTAAGATAGTAACTAATTATAATGTTTCCACCGAAGCTCTCTTTGAAATGTATAAATATCCATTTAACTTTTCTTATATTAAACATGAACTGAATGCTAACTTTGAGTCAGTTTAACTTTTGACATGTAATTCAAACGGATTGCAAAGATTTGCACATGCCATAGAGTGGACCTCATAAACTCGTATTTTATTTACAATGGAAAATAGTCAAATATTAAAGCATATTTAATGTTTAAACAAAGATATTTTCACCAGTTTTAAATAAAGTAATTTTGAAATCGAGGGCGGCAGATGTTATTCAACCTGTTTGCACTTTGTCGCATGGATTGTGCCTTTCCAGATGTGCGGGCTGTCCCTGCCAATAATGCACCCCAATACCATCAGAGAGGCAGGCTTTAGAAGCTACACTCGCTGTTTACTTACGTTCTTGGGGGTGGAAAAGGCTGAAAAATTGGCAACCATTGTATCCCCCCCATAGCTAAAGTTTCCATATCAGTTGGGCTCTAATATGGCCCGTTTACTTTTACCATCTTTTGTTTCTTCCCCCCCAACTTTTGAGACGTGATGTTGCCATTATTTTACAAAATGGTGGTGTCAACATTTCATGTGTTTAAGTTCCATTGTAAGGGAATAAGAGTTTATTCGATCGTTTTATTTAGATTTTATACAGCGTTCCAACTTTTTCAGATTCGGCTGTTCACACCGTTACAAATGCAAAGCTGTACCGAGCGATGCGTTCAGGGCCACTCCTTGTGGTGGACTCGGCCCTTCTTCCTCTTCTCGTTTCTCTCCTTCTGCAGCCGCTCCAGCTCGGCCTCGTACATCATCTCCTGGATCAGGTACTTCTCTCGGCGCATCCTGTCCCGCAGGTCCTTGGGGAGGTCGGGGATTAGATATGCAATCAGGGTCTTGATGGCGAACACCATGTGCTGCAGAACCAAATCGTACAGAACGCCATGAACAAAACTATAAGCCGTACGTTTGGTGCTGGAAAATTATTTCTATTACAGTCACTCAATATTCGCTTATTTAAACTATTAATTTTTTCATTGTTAAAAATGGCATTTCAGACTTTTCTCTTAGTAAAAATTAGAAAGCCATGACAATTTTATGAACTTAATATTTTTCAAAATGCTGAAGAATTTATAGCTGGAAGCAGATTTTTACATGCAGCTAATACAAAAAGGCACAGAGACATTTTCTTTTCTCCATCTCACATTTAATTAGACTAAACCTTTCCTGTTGTAGCTCTGTTAAGAGTCTCTACAATATTTTCTATCTGTAAATACAGTGGCCCCTCGTTAATCGCGGGGGATCCGTACCCTGGAGCCCCGTGATAAGTGAAAAACTGCAAAGTGGGAATAGTAGTACAAGTAGTAAGTAGTAGTTTATTTCATTATTTATATATACAGAACCTTTTCAAAAAATTAGAATATCATGGAAAAGTTGTTTAACTTCCATAATTCCATTCAAAAAGTTAATCTTTAATAGTTGATAGATTCAGGGTCCACAATTTAAACAATTTCAAATATTTATTTGTTTATTTTTACATAATTTGAGCTTCCAGCTCATGAAACACATGAAAACAGGATTTCAAAACACTACTACTACTACTACTACTACTACTACTACTACTACTACTACTACTAATAATAATAATAATAATAATAATAATAATAACAATAAATCAATCAAAATATGGTACTTTCAAAACGACATGTCAATCTTCAATATCTAAAAATGTTAAATCTGGTCCCTGGACATTCAGAAAAAAAAAAATTATAGAAACGTTTCGTCTCTCATCCGAGAGACTTCCTCAGTCTGAGGTGCTGTATTCAGCTCAGTCTCTTAAATAGCACCTTCTCGGAGTGGATCAACCAGTTTTGCTGCTGACAACCAAAACCAGCTGATCACATGCTCAAGAAGGACCATCAGCCTAACAATGGATCATTAGCACACTGATGGCTGTTTACTACTCACAGAGGGCTGAGTGATACTAGCAATCACAGCATTGTAAGAGGGGGACAATAAAAAAAAGCAGAGTTTAGCAACACCTGCACTGGACATTGCACCCCAAATCATGACCGACTGTAGATATTTCACACTGGACCTGAACCAGTATGAGTTCTGAACTTCACCCTTCTTCCTCCAAACCCTTGGACCTTGATTTGCGAATGAAAGGTACACTTTACTTTCATCAGAAAAGCGAACCTGAGGAACCCGACAGTTGTAGTCCATCTCCTGGATGCATCTGAATGTGGTGGTTTTTGAAGCTGTGACTCCACCTCATTCCACTCTTTCTGGATCTCTGACAGATTCTGGAATCTTCTCTGTTTGATAATCTGCTGAAGCCCACGGTCATCTCTTTTGCTGGTGCATCTTCTCCTGCCACATTTTGTCCTTCCACTAGACTTTCTATTGATATGCTTGGATACAGCACTCTATGAACAGCCAGCCTCCTTAGCTATGAACTTCTGTGGCTCACCCATCCTATGGAGGGGATCAATGATGCTCTTCTGGCCAGTTGTTATGTCTGCAGTCTTCCCCATATTGAACCGAACTGAGACAATTGAACCAAACTGAAGCAATTTAATGACACCTGGGGAAACCTGTGCAGGTGCTTTGAGTTTAGTAGATGATCAGTGTCACACTCAGTTTAAAACATTCATGTCCTGCAACATTTGGGCTGATTTCTTCACAGTATTCTAATGTTTTGAAATCCTGTTTTCGTGGGTTTCATGAGCTGGAAGCTCAAATTATGTAAAAATAAACAAATAAATACTTGAAATTGTTTAAATTGTGGACCATGAATCTATCATCTATTAAAGATTAACTTTTTGAATGGAATTATGGAAGTTAAACAACTTTTCCATGATATTCTAATTTTTGGACAGGGTCTGTATACATATACTGTATATATGCTCTAGGCCACGCCCATTTCTCTGCTGCAGAACGGAGATCAAAGAGGAGGAAGGAGGAGCTGCAGGAGGACGTTTCTCCTGCAGTGTGGGCTGCACACAGGTGCAGCAGGTGCTTCATAATTTAAAATATATTTTTTAAAATAACAATTCTATGCCAGTCGTGCGGCTCATCCATCAATCAACCATTTGTGTGTCATGTCCAATCTTATTTTGAAAAACCGCGATAGAGTGAGTCTGCGAAAAACGAATCATGAAGTAGTGAGGGACTACTGTACATAAAAAAATAAAAGAGAGAAAGCTAAAAATGTATCTTTTTCATCGTTTACGTATTTACAGATATAAATAATGTAATTGTTTCTCAAAATAACAATGTTCTTTCAAGTGCATACCTCCACCTCTGTAAGTTCTCTTCCACCTGTTCTATGTCCTCACCACAGAATGAAATAAGTCATCGTGCTGAATAAGTTAAACTCCAGACTGTGCATTAATCTGCAGAGGTTTGATGGATTTTGTTTGTTTGTTTCTATTACATTTCCAGCTTATCCATCACTGAGACAATAATCCATTATCCGTTCAATGTTAGTTAAATTAAGATAGTGGACACAATGCTCTATCATGTGCACCTCTGATTAATTAGAATTTTTTTTTTTTTTTGGTGTGAAAGAACAAGAACAATGCAGTGAAATATGTGGATGAGCTGCAGTTTCAAAACACTGACCTCAAAAACGATTATGAATGCCAGCCGAGCAGCCAGGACGTGCCAGAACTGCAGAGTGTAGGAGTATGGCTCAGCCGAGTCTGGAGGTTCTCTGTAATCACGATACCTGGTGGGAAAATGTCCATTCTTCAACTGGTGCCGTGGCGTGGAGTTCAGTAAGAACATTTGTCATGGTTTAATGAGTTGCAAACACATTCAACCCCCGTGGTGTTCTTTTATTTTCTTTCCTTACTTTGGTGAAAACTTTTGACCCAACAGCGTTTTATTGTCCTTCAACTTTAAAACCATTCGTGTTCCTTGGGGGAAAAAATCTACCCGCTTATTTGACAGCTTAAAACCACAATTTAATATATATATATATATATATATTCATGCAGCCTGCATGAATGTGAAACTGATTTTTTTGTACTAAATGTTTTCTTGTGCACATTAAAAATGAGATTTTACTCTTCTCAATCAAACCCAAAAAACATTTTGTTGATACGATGAGAAGCGGGACTCGGCAGCGACTCTGGCCAGGAAATACGTCTCTCTTATGGGGTTAAACTGAACTGCGTCTTTGTGGAGTTTTAGAGACTCACAAATGTAAAAGCAGAGCACCACCTAGTGGGCTAACATAAAAATAAAAAGTATAGGTATAGAGACGAAAAAGATATACAGCAGCCCCTCATTTACCCTGAAGCCTGCAATGTGAAAAACTGCAAAGTAGGGATAGATGTACAAGTAGTAGTTGAACTCATATATATATATATATATATATATATATATATATATATGTATATATATGTGTGTGTGTGTGTGTGTGTGTGTGTGTGTGTGTGTATACTTACATACATATATACATATACAGTATATATTAAGGCGTTTTAAACCCTTCCCACCCTCTGGCAATATTCTAAACAATGTTTCTAAACTCTTAACACTTTAAAAGAGCACAGAATGCCATGATTTCAACTCCTTCCATTCTCTGCTCTCGGCCACGCCCACTTCTCTGCTCTGCACAAAGATCAGCTGATCAGCTGCAGCAGGAAGTTTATCCTGCAGTATGGGCTGCACAGGTGCGAAGTATTTTTAAATAATTTATCCATCCATCCATTTTCTTTCGCTTATCCGGGGTCGGGTCGCAAGGGTAGCAGCCTAAGTAGAGAGGCCCAGACTTCCCTCTCCCCGGCCACTTGGGCCAGCTCCTCTGGGGGAATCCCGAGGCGTTCCCAGGCCAGCTGAGAAACATAGTCCCTCCAGCGTGTCCTGGGTCTTCCTCTGGGTCTCCTCCCGGTGGGACGTGCCCAACACCTCACCAGGGAGGCGTCCAGGAGGCATCCTAACCAGATGCCTGAGCCACCTCAACTGGCTCCTCTCGACGTGGAGAAGCAGCGGCTCTACTTTGAGTCCCTCCCTGATGGTCGAGCTTCTCACCCTATCTCTAAGAGAGAGTCCAGACACCCTGCGGAGAAAACTCATTTCGGCCGCTTGTATCCGAGATCTCGTTCTTTCGGTCACAACCCAAAGCTCCTGACCATAGATGAGGGTAGGAACGTAGATCGACCGGTAAATTGAGAGCTTGGCCTTTTGACTCAGCTCTCTTTTCACCACGACAGACCTGTACAGCACCCGCTTCACTGCAATTCACTTCAATTTATTTTAAATAACATTTCCTTGCTGATCGTGTGGCTCATCCATCAATCAGTCAATTGTGTGTCATGTCCAATCTTATTTTGAAAAACTGCAATAGAGAGAGTCCGCGATAAACAAACCGCAAAGTAACGAGGTACTACTGTAACATCATTCAGAGGAATGCATATTTTATTATATGATAAACATGGGATTAAAATGAGCTTTTACAATGTATTTTAATGCGGCCGGTTTTCCCCCTCAGGAACACGAGTGTAGAAAATTTACTGTGAGGTTAGGAGAGCATTTGAAAAACATCTGACAAAAAAAAAAAAAGTAGAGGCAATTTTCAGCTTAGTCAGAAAAATATTGTGTTTACTAAATGCAGCCAGAAAATAAATAAATAAATAAATAAATAAAAACATAGACAAAAATAAATGCATGGCTGAAAAATAGTCCATAAAACCCCAGTAGATTTTAGTCTCTGTTGTTTCTGAAGGTCACAGTGGGGGGGCTTCAAAGCAATAGGGGGTGAATACTTTTGCAAGTCACTGAGTAACGCTCATGTTCGAGCTTCTACCTCCAGCTATTTCAAACTACCTGCAGAACTTTACAGCTTCTTCAAACAGTTCAGAGCCGTTAGTTCTGGGCTGAGATTTCTTCTCAAAGTCTGACACTTGGAAAATGGACAAACTGGCATTAACGTATCCCATCATGCACCTGAGAAGAACGCAAAAGTTCATCTGTTCAACATGTGTATACTTTTAAAATGATGACGTCATTTAATGTGCGATCAAACAAAATGTGTTCATCCATCTCTCACCCCTCTCCTGACTGGCTCTGACCAGCACAGGGTCCATACTTGTAGGCGTAAACGAGGCGAGGGATGAAGTCTGATGTAACGGCGATGACGAAGGCGTTGGTGATGACGGACAAGATGCCGATTCCTTCCAAAATGCCGTACCAGATTCCTGACAGAAACACAAGTTAGGCAGGGGACAACCACTCAGGAAGAACTTTCCGCCTCCTCTTTACCGATGTCTTTGGCCTGGGAGGGCAGAGGTCGGCGCCACTGTGTGACAAACTTGAACGCGTCCAAACGGATCTCAATGATGTTGTTGATCAGAGCCAGGAGAGGAGCGAGAGGGAACGCCGCCACAAAGATGGTGGTGAAGCCAAACTGCAGAACTGAAACAAAGAAGAGTTCATTAATATGATGGCGTTTGTGGCGATGTCAGATTTTCTTTTTAGTTTGGGGTTAAAATGACACAAAGTTGGATTGGTTTTGTTCATCTGATCTTCTGCAGCAAATGTGTCAAATTTAAGGCTGGTGGGCCAGATATGGCCATATTTTTTTATTTATTTGTCCTGCAAGGGAGTATTTTGAATATACTATTAGGACTGGTTTGATATTCTGTGACAGATCAAGTCTCACAATTGTTTTAGATTACTTAAAAACCCGAGCGTACTTTGTGCACTTCTCATAACTTTAAACTGACTCCGAAACAGAGATTAAATTCTAATCTAAAAAAGTTAAATCTGGTCCTCTGGACATTCAAAAAAAAAAAAAAAAAAAAAAAATTGATTTATTTTGTTTTGTTTTTTTGAATGTCCAGAGGAATGGATATCAGGTAATCTCAAAATCCAGCATTGATATTAAAAACAAAAAGATAGAAACTTAACAATCATAAAAATACATACATCAAAAAATGAGGTACAACATACTCATCTTCAAGTATTCGTCAAAGAGTCCGTAGGCGTTCATTGGCTGGAGGTTGTAGTCCTTCTCCCACTGCGGCAGACTGGCCATGGTGTGGTGGCCATGCTCTCTCCTCAGCCTCCGTCTCGTCCACCAGTTCTGAATGAGCCTAGAAAACCAGCACAGAATGATCCAGTCTCTTGTAGTCTACTGTGACCAGTCCAAAAGCTAAAAATACAAAGAAACTCCTATTATAGCTAAAGCACAAATACTTTTTTATTATTTTTGTGAAATTAACAGCCTGTATGTCACCTATTACCACTGTGGTCACAATCATCTTACTTTAAAACTAGTGGGCATGCTAACAACACAATCAAGATAATGTTTCAATTGTCGTTTTCCATCGTGTCTTAAATGGTGATCCAGTTTATCTGTAAAGCTCTTACAAATTTTAACAAGTTTTTATCCACCATATAGTGGCCTAGAAACTTGTCACATGACAAAGATATATGCTACAGTGGTGGAAATAGACCACAATGCATTGTGGCTTGAGTTGACGCAGCAGACTAATGAGACTAATGCTAATGTTTCCAGCTCATTGTCATTACTCACTAAAAGCTCTTACAAGCCAATTATATAGATGTATCTAAAGAAAAGTGTAAAACATCCTTTGTTGAAGCAGCAGAGCTTAAAAAATAATACAAACCTTGTGTAATGACTCCTAAATTTAAACCATTTATGAATCATGTTATACGTCTGTGTGGTTTGTTTTTATATTTTGCACACAAACTAGATCTCTAAGATGTGTTTTGTGCAGAAAGGTTTTGTAAGTTAACATATATTTACGCAGCACCTGCTTGTGAATACTTGGCACACTATTATGACGTACATTTTAATAGTGTTCAAAATGCAAAAACACTCCACTTTCCCCTACATAGCCTCACAGATAGTGACTGTGCGGTAGTGAATGAGTGAACAAGTGAACCGTTCAAACACAGCCATACTAAAGAGACCTACAAGATCTGGGCAGGGAAAGAAAATGTCAAATTCTTCACTGCTTGTAGTTCATATCTTGCATTGGATTTTCAGAGACACTTTAGTTATTTTGAACATGTTTAAAATTAAAGCAACAAGACTCACGAGGAAACTGAAGAACATGATGCAGAGAAGGAAGGTAGATTTATTATGCGTCTCAAAATGCCATTTAAGCGTATGCCATTGTCCCTCGTCTCTGAGGGATTTGAATAGTGTTCATATTCTTTGAGTTGTGTTCTTTTGACTGGAATTGAACAGGGAATGCTGGTACAACTTATTGTTTTTGGTGTAAGATATTCAAGTGGGTAGGAGTTACATTGTGTAGAACAGAAGTCTTTTTTTTTCTTGTCTGAGACAGCACAGAGTGAAGCATCCTGGTGAGTGGATGGAGCAACTTTAGCAATATGCACCCATGAGGTGGCCAAAACCACCTTTGGTTACCGGTATAGACTGATCTTCAGCCACCCCAATCACTTCAAGGAAATGTACTTTTAAGCAATATAAAACTAGAAAGCATCGTTTCCTCAAATGATAGAGGTGATTGGTTTACATATGTATATGGAAGTGGCCAGCTTGGATTTTTGACATGGCAACCCAGTTTTCAGTAGTGACCTTTCTTATACCTAAACATATCCACAGACCCTTTTTATTAAGCTATCATGCGCACAACTTGGACGTACAGACGTTGGGTTTTTCAAATTTCTTCTTTTTGCTCTGCAATGGGGAGCAACTAGTTATCTGTCACAACCCAGTGAGATTACTACCTTTAGTTCTCGCCAAATAAGTTATTCCTGCTATTGGAGTGTAGCCAGCATAGTGTAGTCATGATACGGTCAAAGCCTGGGCATGGCCCCTGGGCAGTTGTGCTTTAAACTCTTGACTACAAAATAACAACAGGTGTGCTCAGGCCCCACTTCATGGATAAGCTACTACACCTGCCACCACGCTCCACCTAGGACCCATGGGTGCTACAAGTCTATTACGTCAATAAACTACCATGACCTTGCTATGGAAATTTTGAGCGAGGTCAAAACTATTATGATTATATTACGCATAACAGTCTGAATGTGAATAGGAACTAAACCTAACCCGTTTAACCAGTTTGAAACTTTTCTAGCCACTGTTAAGGACATGTATAAACAATTTCTGGGCATAATTAAGCAAGAAACATGATTTGACATCAAACTCTGAAGAAAAAAAAAGTAAATGAAAAGAGAAACACCAATGCAATAGGAACAATTAGCTGTAAAATCTCAAATAAAGCTGAAAATCCAATAGGAGTTTTAAGGAAGGTCATTTCTTGATCAACATTCGTACGATTGATGCAAAGACATGAAAGAGCGATATAAGAAATGAAACAAACAGAACTCACGGGTAGCCAAGCTCCATGAAGTTGTTCCACGTCTGTTTTAGCACCATAATAATTCCCATTTGCATACAGAGGTCAATGAGGCAGCCACTTGGGTGGCACTGCAGCAGAAGCAACAAAGAAGCCTGGTCATCAGTGATTTATTGTTCTTACTCAACAAGGTTTTAATTAGAGATACACCAATCCGATACCAATATCGGTATTGGTACTGATATTGGAAAAACTTCTGGATCGGGTATCGGTGACAATGTGACCGATCCATGACTGGGCAGTTCTAGTCACTCTAATTCTATGCTTTGTGCTCTGAGTGACGTCATGCGTTAGCGTACTGACTGAACGAATTAAAGTTGTGTTGTTTTTACATTTGACCGAGCTTGTGAAGTTCTTGGTGTGTTTAAGTGCGTTGTTATCGTGCAGAGTTTTCAATAAATTTGTAATTCAGTACATTCATGTCTGCGTTTAACAAAACAAATCTTTTAAGTTAATTCAGCACTGGGTTTGTAAGCTCAAACATCCAGGTAGACAACAAAAATGGCTAAATCATGTCATCTGGACCTGTTTCTGAAATGGGTCCAGATGACATGATTTAGCCATTTTTGTTAATTCAGCACAGTGTTTCCTGTATCAGATCGGTATCAGCCGATACTAAAACGCATACATCGGTATCGGATACGAAGTGAAAAAAGTGGATAGGTGCATCCCTAGTTTTAATACAACATTTATTTGGGTAAATGCAGAGCTTCTGTTGGGCCCGTAATTACATCTCACTACAATTATATTGCACCTTTAGTCATTCAATATTATGCCAAAGTGCATTAAAAGAAGTTCTGCAAGCCTAGGCATAATTCTCCATGGCAACAAAAGGTTGACTGGAGCTACACTTGCACTGTTCATGTCACATTAGTTCTGCATTTCTGCAGGAGTGGAAGTGGGAACACATTAGCTCAGCAGCTAAAAGTGTCAGCTCAGACCTTTTGTCCTCATAGACCACTTCAGTGTGTTTGTTCCTTACACGTTCCAAGAAGTACCACTTTATGCTGATGAGGGTCGTGGGCATGCACATGAAGCTAAACATTCTGGTTCAAAATACATGGAGCCACAAGACTTTTTGTTCCTCGTGAAGGATAAAAATTAGTTTACCTCTTCTAGTTTCCAGCGATTGATGAGGCGTAGATACGCACCTGGACGCCCCGTGAACCTGTCAGTACAAGAGTTGCAGCAGTTTAAAATGGCTGAATATTAGGCGTTCTCTACATTTTAAAATGTTCTGAACAACTAAAACCTGCTGCCACGAAATGTAAAATTCTGACTAGTTGTTGCCCCTTGGAAAGTTCTATAAAATATTTATTTATTTCGGCCTTGTATCCACATAAATCGTGTTGCCAGATGGGAAATGTTAAAGTATTGCATCAGAGGCTTAAAATTATTGTATTTTGAAGAAAATTACTGTATATACGCAGACTGCATTTTCAAGTGTCTCAGTTATCTCCTCTATAGCACAATACTATAAAGAGTGAATATTAAAGCCTATGAGTGGCTCAGTTGGTAGATCTACCGCCTCTCAGCGAGAAAGTCGTCGGATTGGATCACGACCCGGAGGCCTTTCTGGGTGGAGTTTGCATGTTCGCTCCGTGCATGCGTGGGTTTTCTCCAGGTGCTCCAGTTTCCTCCCACAGATCAAAAACATGCATGTTAGGCTGATTGGTAACTCTAAATTGTCCCTAGGTGAGAGTGAATGGTTGTCTCATTTGTCTCTATGTGTCCCTGTGATGGACTGGAGACCTGTCCAGGGTGTGCCCCCGTCTCTCACACAGTGACTGCTGGACATGGGCACCAGTGACCTCCATGACCCCAAAAGGAAGAAGCAAGTATAAGATAATGAATGGATGGATGTTTATATGGCCAATCCCCCTGGCTAACATTGTTTTGTTTATGGTTTTGTTCATTTTTGTTATAAATAATCTTTGAACAGACTGAACTATCCTCTACAGGCTGCTGTTGGATCATCATGGATCTGCCGCATTAATATTTTCACGTGGACTTTGTTTATATTCTAAAAACTAACATCAACCCCCCCTCCTAATCCACTTCTGAATGCCTCTGAATTTCTGCCATAGAAATAGCTTTTACTGTTTCATTGTGACATTTTAGCACACATTACATACAAACAGCAACACCAAACACCTAAACAGGTAACTTGTCATTAAACAATGCTAAACAGTACACTAGAGTCGCTATTGGCTTATAAAAAATACAGTCACTAGAGGGGTCTGAACACTCACTATAAAAATGACAAACTCTCTAAACTGGCAACACTGTGCGTATTCTGTAATCCACAACTTGTCATGTGTCAGTTGTGCATTTTTAACTAATTTAGACAAGCACTGAAGTGGTCAAATTATTGTACATTATGGATTTTAAGAATTATTGCTACTGAGGAGGGCAAAATTATCGTATTAATAATTATTGTTTGTCTGGCAACACTGACTTCATTGACAGTATTTTAGAAGACCCTAACTACGGTGGCCCTGAGGTGTAAATGAACAACATTTGAAAAAACAGAATCACATTTGTAAAAAAAAAAAAAAAAAACGGAATTACATTTGACAAAACAGAATTACATTAAGCTAAGGTGGAAGTGGCCAAAGCAGAAGTGGCCGAAGCGGAAATGGCCGGAACCACATTTGAAAAAACGAAATTAGATTTGAAAAAACAGAATTACATTAAGCCAAAGCGGAAGTGATAAAAGTGCAAGTGGCCAAAGTGGAAGTGGCCAAAGCAGAAGTGACCAAACCATAAGTAGCCAAAGTGGAAGTGGCCGAAGCAGAAGTAGCCAGAATCACATCTGAAAAAAAAAAACCGGAATCACATTAAGCCAAACCGGTAATGGTGGGCGGATCGGTCCAAATATCGATAATATCGATACCAACATGGCTATTGATATTGATCAATACCAGTGTAATGAGATCGATACCTTAGCTTCAGTTTCTCTCCTATATGCACTGCTGCGGTTTCATCAAAGATGCGAGCCGACTGTGTAAGTGCCGCTCCTGTCACAGCACAGAGCAGGCAGGGCCCACAGAGAGGCTTCTGGGAATATTTCTTTGAACTCAAGGCTTTTGAGGTGGTTTTGTTATTTACACTTTATTTATTGTATTTTCACTAATTATTTTTGATTTGTTGTTATTTTTTATAACCCAGAAAAGAAATTCACTTAAGAGGAGAAATTTTGTTTGTTTCCTTTATATCCTAAATATATATTTACTGTTTTACAACATTTGTTGCGATGTGATAACTTTGTACAGTTTGTTTATTTAAGAAAAACAATCCAGAAAAGGAGTGAAATGAAGGGATCATTTTTATGTAATTATCATAGTTTCTGAATACGTTTAATTTTTTCTTGAGTGATCATTTTGCGCACTTTGTTTAAGGAAAAACAATCCATCCATCACAAGGTATGGGGAAAATTTTTTGTTGTTCTATTTTTTCAGAAAATACTTTTATTATAATAAAGTACTTTTTATTTACTTATAAACTTAGCCTAATTCTATCCTGGGTTTTATCTAATAAATGATCTGAAGTAAAAATCATAAAACACTTAAACAGCATCAAAATTCACCGTAATTATTTTAAAGTATCATATCGGTATCACTATCAATATCAGTATTAGTGATACTGGACCTGTATTTATTTGGTATAGATCAATACCAAATTTTGCAGTATCGCACACCACTACAAACCAGATGTGGTGGGGGGAGAGGGGTTTGTGTGTATTTTTTAACTTTATTAACAACATAAAACAGAACAACAGAACAATGTACAGTACACACACAACAGAGTTACAGTTAGCAGGCTAGGTATTACTAATGTCACACCAGTAAAACTAAAATGTATGTCAACAAAACTTTATTATCTTGAAGATCCTGCTGAGTTTTTCCAGCGTCATATCTTTTTTAAGCTTGAACAAACAGCTCTCCATTTCTACAGGCTAAAGCCTGCTAACTGTGACTGTACCTCCATTGTGTGTGTACTGTACAAAGTACATTGTTCTGTTGTTCTGTTTTATGTTGTTAATAAAGTTTTTTTTAAAAACACACACACACACACAAAAACCCTCCACTTCCTGTTTGGCCTAATGTAATTCTGTTTTTTCAAATGTTGTTCATTTACACCTAAGGGCCACCATACCTAACAATATTTTTGTAGCAGTGTTTAGCATCACATAATACAGTAGTATCCCCTCCCTGGGCTGCCACCTTATCATGGTGGAGGGGTTTGAGTGTCCCAATGATCCTAGGAGCTATGCTGTCAGGGGCTTCACGCCCCTACTAGGGTCACCCAAGGCAGACAGGTCCTAGGGGAGAGACCAGACAAAGTGTAGCACAAACACCCCAATGATGATCAAAATAAATGGACTCGATGTTCCCTCGCCTGGACGTGGTTCACTGGGGCCCCACTCTGGAGCCAGGCCTGGAGGTGGGGCACGCGGGCGAGCGCCTGGTGGCCGGGCTTTTACCCATGGAGCTCGGCTGGGCACAGCCCAAAGAGGAGACGTGGGTCCCCCTTCCCATGGGCTCACCACCTGTGGGAGGGGCCAAAGGGGTCAGGTGCAATGTCAGATGGGTGGTGGCCGAGGGCGGGGACCCTGGCGGTCTGATCCTCGGCTACAGAAGCTGGCTATTGGGACGTGGAATGTCACTTCACTGGTGGGGAAGGAGCTTGAGCTGGTGTGTGAGGTTGAGAGGTTCTGGCTAGAAATAATCAGACTCACCTCTACGCATGGCTCTGGCTCTGGGACCAGTTTCCTTGAGAGGGGTTGGACACTCTTCCACTCTGGAGTTGCCCCTGGTGAGAGGTGCCGAGCAGGAGTGGGCATACTTATTGCCCCCCATCTTGGTGCCTGTGTGTTGGGGTTCACTCCGGTGAATGCAAGGGTAGCCTCCCTCCGCCTACGTGTGGGGGGATGGGTTCTGGGTGTCGTTTGTGCTTATGCACCAAACGGCAGCTCAGATTATCCACCCTTTTTGGAGTCCTTGGAAGGGGTACTGAAAAGTGCACCTCCTGGGGACTCCCTTGTTCTGCTGGGGGACTTCAATGCTTACGTGGGCAATGACGGTGAGACCTGAAGTGGTGTGGTTGGGAGGAACATCCCCCCTGATCTGAACCCGAGTGGTGTTCTGTTGTTGGACTTCTGTGCTCATCATGGATTGTCCATAACAAACACCATGTTCAAGCATAAGGGTGTCCATTTGTGCTCTTGGCACCTTAGTTCAATGATCAACTTTGTCGTCGTCTCATCTGATCTGAGGCCACATGTCTTGGACATTTGGGTGAAGAGGGGGGCAGAGCTGTCCACTGATCACTACCTGGTGGTGATTTGGCTCCGATGGTGGGGGAGGATGCTGGTCAGACCTGGCAGGCCCAAACGTATTGTGAGGGTTTGTTGGGAACGTCTGTCAGAGTCTCCTGTGAGACGGAGCTTTAACTCCCACCTCCGGGAAAATTTCAAACATGTTCCGGGGGAGGTAGGGGGCATTGAGGCCGAGTGGGCCATGTTCCGTGCATCTATTGTCAAGGCGGCTTCCCGGAGCTGTGGCCGGAAGGTTGTCGGTGCCTGTTACAGCAGCAACCCTCGAACCCGGTGGTGGACACCGGAAGTGAGGGATGCTGTCAGGCTGAAGAAGGAGTCCTACCGGGTCTTTATGGCCTGTGGGACCCCGAAAGCAGCTGATGGGTACTGGCAGTCCAAGCAGCATGCGACTCAGGTGGTCGCTGAGGCAAAAACTCGGGCATAGGAGAAGTTTGGAGAGGCCATGGAGAATGACTTCCACACGGCTTCGAGGCGATTCTGGTTCACCATCCGGCGTCTCGGGGGGGGGGGGGGGGAAAGCGGTACACCATCAACACTGTTTATAGTGGGGGTGATGTGCTGCTGACCTCAACTTGGGATGTTGTGGGTCGGTGGGCGGAATACTTTGAAGACCTCCTCAATCCCACTGGCATGTCTTTCACCAAGGAAGCGGAGCCTGGGGACTCTGGGTTGTGCCCTCCAATCTCTGGTGCTGAGGTCACCGAGGTGCTTAAAAAGCTCCTCGGTGGCAGGGCCCCAGGGGTGGATGAGATTCGCCCGGAGTTCCTTAAGGCTCTGGATGTTGTAGGTTTGTGTTGGCTTACGCAACTCTGCAATATTGTGTGGACATCGGGGGAAGTTCCCCTGGATTTGCAGACCGGGGTGGTGGTCCCCCTATGCAAAAAGGGGGACCATAGAGTGTGTTCCAACTACAGGGGGATCACGCTCTTAAGCCTCCCTGGTAAGGTCTATTCGGGGGTTCTGGAGAGGAGGGTCCATCGGATAGTCGAACCTCAGATTCTGGAGGAGCAGTGCGTTTTTTGTCCTGGTCGTGGAACACTGGACCAGCTCTACACTCTCAGCAGGGTCCTGGAGGGTGCGTGGGAGTTTGCCCAACCAGTCTACATGTGCTTTGTGGACTTAGAGAAGACGTTCAACCGCGTCCCTCAGGGAACCCTGTGGGGGGTACTCTGGGAGTATGGGGTACCAGGCCCTTTGATATGGACTGTTAGGTCCCTGTATGACCGATGTTAGAGCTTGGTCTGCATTGCCGGTAGTAAGTCAGGTTTGTTCCCAGTGAGAGTTGGACTCCGCCAAGGTTGCCCTTTGTCACCGATTCTGTTCATAACTTTTATGGACAGAATTTCTAGGCGCAGCCAAGTTATTGAGGGGATCCATTTTGGTGGCCTTAGGATTGTGTCTCTGATTTTTGCAGATGATGTAGTCCTGTTGGCTTCATCAGATCATGATCTACAGCTTTCGCTGGAGCGGTTCGCAGCCGAGTGCGACACAGCCGGGATGAAGATCAGTTCCTCCAAATCCGAGGCCATGGTCTTGAGCCGGAAAAGGGTAGAGTGCCCTCTCCGGGTCTGGGAGTAAGTCCTGCCCCAAGTAGAGGAGTTCAAGTATCTTGGAGTCTTGTTCATGAATTAGGGAAAAATGGAGTGTTAGAACGATAGGCAGTTAGGTGCAGCGTCTGCAGTGAAGTGGGCTCTGTACAGGTCTGTCGTGGTGAAGAGAGAGCTGAGTCAAAAGGCAAAGCTCTCAATTTACCGGTCAATCTACGTTCCTACCCTCATCTATGGTCATGAGCTTTGGGTTGTGACCGAAAGAACAAGATCTCGGATACAAGCGGCCGAAATGAGTTTTCTCCGCAGGGTGTCTGGGCTCTCCCTTAGAGATAGGGTGAGAAGCTCGATCATCCGGGAGGGACTCAGAGTAGAGCCGCTGCTTCTCCACGTCGAGAGGAGCCAGTTGAGGTGGCTCGGGCTTCTGGTTAGGATGCCTCCTGGAGACCTCCCTGGTGAGGTGTTCTGGGCACGTCCCACCGGGAGGAGACCCAGAGGAAGACACAGGACACACTGGACGGACTATGTTTCTCGGCTGGCCTGGGAATGCCTCGGGATTCCCCCCGGAGGAGCTGGCCCAAGTGGCTGGGGAGAGGGAAGTCTGGGCCTCCCTACTTAAGCTGCTACCCCCGCGACCCGACCCCGGATAAGTGGAAGAAAATGGATGGATGGATAATACAGTAGTACTACAGCATTTGGGTACGTTTCAGTTTTTCTAGGTGGCTAAAAAACATTCCTAGAGCTGTTTGTTATTGAAAATAAAACTTGTTTTGGAAAACCAAAGTTCATGTGTGAACAGGAGCTCCAGTAGCCTAACTGATCTGTGTTTGCGAGGCATTCCTTATTTCCTCACCTTCCTAAAAAGAAGGCGATATAAAACGTGGAGCTGTTAAGGTTGACGAACTGAAACAGGAACATCTTGAAGGTGAAGCTGTTCTCCCACTCCGACTCTGTTCTCGGCTGCTCTGTGGCCACAAAAAGAGTGGAAACAGACTAAAAGATTAATAAAATCAGCGTTCAGCCATGAATGCACAGGATGTGCACATTTACTTTCTTGAATTTAATTCTACATGCTAACAACATTAAGGATTAAAATGCAGCCCACAACACTGACTGATTTAAAACCTGCTACATCTGGTTCAGCCAACTCACCTAAATTTGTGAGAAGAAGAGCAACTTTTTCATAAAGCTGTAAAAAAATAGAAACTTTGCTGAATAATTTGAGTTAAGGGTTAAAAGAGAATGTAAATTTGTACAGCTATTTGCACTGTGGATAGATTTTATTAACCAAACCTTTTTATTTTTTTTAATGCAATATTTTTTCCTCAACTTTAGACCTTACTGAGGAGAAATGTCTCACCACGTTGAGGAGCATGATGACGCAGAAGTTGATGCAGACTGCTGTGCCTGTGGTGGCCACCTGAGAGTTGTTCCTGATGAGCGCCCAGCCAAAGGCAGCGAAGGTGCTGACAGTGATCACACGATAAATCACGATGCCAAACACAGCGGCAATCACCACCAGTATCTGTAAGGTGGGGAAAAAAAAATACCACAACCAATTAAAGCTACTTGTAAACCACTGTTCCAGAAAATGTGTAAAGGTTTCTAAAATGCAAAAACCTTAATAATTTGTTGGAACTTGTATTTACAATTGCTGACCATAAATGAACTACAGTTTGATGGTTTATAGATTGTTGGAGGTGTTCAGTTTTTAAAACAAGTTTCAAGTCAATATTATTGTCATTTCCATTACATATGGTACATGAGGTGGAACAAAATTGTGTGTGCAGTGTCCCAGTTACATCCAAAATAGCAAAATATAAAGTATGAAAAGAAACAGTAAATAAGGATCTAAGGCTAAGGCTATATTTAAGATATATGCTAAACTAACATCAAACAGTATGCTAAAAGATCTAAAATATATGCTAAATAAAAATTGTGTAAGACAATACAGCGTAACAACAACAGTCCGAACATGATCAGGAAGCTGACTAATGAAAAATAAAATGAAAAAGCAAACATTGTTTTTGTAATTGTTTCTGAAATAAAGACTTTTCAGACATCTTGATCCAGGTGTAGAAAGGTGATGAAGAACTATTATCTTGTTTTTATCTTGTAGATAGTACTTTGAATGACCAGTTTATCCATCCATCCATCATCTTCCACTTGTTCCGAAATCGGGTCGTGTGGGGGGGGGGGGGGGGCAGCACCTTGAGCAGGGAGTCCCAGACATCTCTTTCCACAGCCACCTCTTCCAGCTCTTTTGGGAGGATTCCAAGATGTTCCCAGGCCAACCAAGAGACATAGTCTCTCCAGCGTGTCCTGGGTCTTCCCCGGGGTCTCCTCCCAGTCGGACATGCTTGAAGCACCTCCCTAGGGAGGCGCCCAGGGGACATCCTTGCCAGATTCCCCCAACCACCTCAACTGGCTCCTCTTGATGTGGAGGAGCAGCGGTTCTACTCCAAGTCTCTCCCGAATAACCAAACTTCTCACCCTATCTTTAAGGGAGAGTCCAGCTACCCTGCGGAGGAAACTCATTTCAACCTCCTGTATCCACGATCTCATTCTTTCGGTCACTACCCAGAGCTCGTGACCAAAGGTGAGGGTTGGAACATACAGACATAAAAACAGAGAGTTTTGTCTTACAGCTCAGCTCTCTCTTCACCACAACGGACCGGTACAGAGTCCGCAATACTGCAGTTGCTGCACCAATCTGTCTGTCAATCTCATACTCCATTCTTCCCTCACTCATCTCAAACATCTCTATAAAAAAGAAACTGTCCAGATGACCCGACTGAGAATTATTGGAATTGGTACCTGGATGATTGAGCATGAACTTTGTCACCCTCTGTCTTGCACTCTTGACATTCTTCTTTTACACAGTTCTATGGAGTTCTTGATAAAGGTGTTTAGTGTCTGGTTAACTCTGTACAGTTTCAAGCACTCCAGTTCCCATGGGTGTGGCATTGAGTTATAGGCTTTCCTGTAGTCAATCTAGGTAGTGCACGTTTGGGTATCTGTTCTTGCAGACCCAAGATATGGTTCTGTCGAACAGTAGTTGGTGCTTTGCTCCCCTGGTGTTTGCACCAATTCATTTCTGCACCTTATTCAGGTATTGACACATGTGCCTATTCATCTTAGCCACTATAATGCCTGATAGGAGCTTCCATGTTGCACAGAGATAGGTGCTTGACTGGTAGTTGGATGGGATTGCACATTTCTGGGGGTCTTTCATGATCAGGACTGTCCAGCCATAGGTCAGCCACCCTGGGTGAGACCCTTCCATTAGCAGTAGTTTCATCTGTACTACTAGGTGTTCAAGGAGAGCAGTTAATTTCTTTAGCCAGTAGGTGTGGCTCTTGTCAGGTCCAGGTGCAGTCCAGCTCTTCATTCTTGAGACTCTGTCTTGGATGTCTGCCACTGTAACGAGCACTGGAGAATTATGGGAGGCCAGGTAATACATAATTCAGAAAAACCTCTCACACATACTAGTGAAAACCTCTCTCACACACATATGAAAGCCACTCAGAGAATACTGTGTTGAGATCTTGCAGCCATGGGGCATCATTATTGTGTGATGTCTCTTTCTCCCATATGCTTCTCCAGTATGGTTCAGTCATAGCTCTACCCTCATGTTGTTTCCCTGCCATTGAGAATGCACTCTGAATGGTGTGGTGGAGAATACCCTGATTATTCTCTTGGCTTCTTCTTTTTTAGTATACCTCTTTAGATGAATACCCAAAGCTTTAAGACATTGTTTAGCAGTCTCTAGAACCTCAGCCATGAACACGTTTTGGTATTTTCATGGTGTCTCTTTATTCATTGCGCCTTTATGTTGTTCTGACTTTCTCTCAGTGTTGCCTTGATCTTAGTTTCCAGTCTTTTTCTCCATGGTGGACAATGCTCCTTAATTATTGACTTGATCTTATAGCCAAGCAAGTCATGGATCACTGTGGCTATAGTGTATACCATCTTATTTATTAACCTTTATTTAACCAGGCAAATCCCAATGAGATCACATATCTCTTTTGTAAGGGAGGCCTGAGCCTGAAGGCAGCCTAACATGCATGTTTTTGGGCTGTAGGAGGAAACTGGAGTACCCAGAGAAAACCCACACAAGCACAAGAAGAGCATGCGAACTCCACACAGAAAGACCCCAGGTCCAACCGGGGATTGAACCCAGGACCTTCTTGCTGTGAGGCAACAGTGCTAACCACTGAGCCATCATGCTGCCTTATTGATCATTCACATCTTCTAACAGTCTTTCAGAAGATAATTTGCCACTTAGCCTTGGCAAGGGGTGCAGGTTATAGTTGCCAAGCTTGGTCACAATCCTCATTCTCAGGTAGCTGCCCTTGTATTCAGTTCTTCAGGGCTTTTCAATGGGGTTTGGTAGCCATATTATAATGGTGGAAGAGGCTCCCACTTTGCTGTAGCATCTTTTGAAGTACCTAGTCAATCTCTAGGTGTGATAACAGATTCCTCACTCAAACGTTGGAACACTGGATCCGAAGTTGGTTTTGGATCAATCTTGAAGATTGGTATCAGTTTCGATAGTTCCTACATCCTTCCTATAAAACCTCTCTCTCTAGGCTTGCTTGCATAGTAGGATTCCAACAGTGTAAAGTTATGTGCTCTTGTCCATGCATGTCTTATTCCAGTAGCCCATTTCTCGTCAGAATATACTGGTTCCCCAACATTTGACATGGACCTTGTTAATCCGGAAAACATCCGAGCTGGCATGGCCTCATTATTTTATCCCTCACTCGTTATGTAACTGAGGTTGCTCTGAAGCTGGAACAAGATTTGAACCCTGAAGCCTTGATGTTACTGCATTAAATATGTGACATAACCACATCTAGCAGAATTATCATAAGATTTTGGCAACAATAACTGTACAAATATGAAACAGTGTTATAAAGACTGCAGTATTACTGCTAGCAGTAATGGCTAGCAAATGTTTAATTGGGGAGTTGTTTTAAAATACGCAAACTCTGTTTTGGAAGTGGATCTGTTTGTTTGCATAGACTGCATTCACAAGTTAATAACCGCTGGTCTAAGCAGATCCATTTCTAAAGTGGATTTTTCCATCTTAAAACACCTCAAATCTTCAAATTTCTAACTTGTTCTTGCAAAAGGTATAATTTAAACCATTACATTGCCGTCACTTTTCAATGATAGAGTTAGTTTAGCAAAATATGATGAAATTCTTATTTGAAGTGTCCTCTGGCTGCAACAGAAGTTTTACAACTCACTGCAATTTGCATGGGCAAAAGCCACATTTTATGTAAAAAAAAAAAATTCTATAATGCAAAATTGACAGTGGTGTAAAAGGTCCGAGTAATTCCATGAACTGTTCTGAGACTTTATGTTTTCAGACGACAGAAATCCTCTTTGGTTTTGGAACCACTTGAAAGGTTAGCTCGTCAAGAACTATCTACAGCGGGTAATATATCAATTCTTAATATAATTCCCACACAACTTCACTTCAGAAAACCCTAAAAGTTTCTTTAATATCACAGATTTTTGTTTGTGTGTGTTGAACAATTTGAAAGCAAAGATAATTTCTTACCTAAAGTTAGTTTTAAACTGGAACTAACAACAGAACACATACGGTGTTGAACCTAAAATTGACAGAAACATCTGATAAATTATGTGTTTTAACTAAATCTGACAAAAAAAAAAAAAACAAGAAACAAATGGAATTATTAAACAATTAAAATGCACCATGCAATATACTGTATCATGGAGAATGTAGTGACTGTTCAGGTTTAGATTTCTTCTTTGAAGGCAAATGAAAAATAAGAAGGGAGATAAAACAAATTGGCAGGTGGAATTGTAATTATTTACCTCCAGAAACTCACCATGAAGAATATTCCAGATGCTGAGACGAGGAGGCGGCTGTATTTGTCAGAGAAGGCCTGGTGAGGCTCAGGTTTTCCTGATATGGGGTTCATCCTCTCCCTTTTGGAGTACTTGGCCTCAAACTGGGGTCGTATTTCATCCTGAAACCCAGAATCATGAAGGTCTTAATGAAATGACATCAATTTATTTCATTTATTTTAAATTAACCAATATTATAGGAATAGTAACTTAAATCATGGAACGTTCAAAGTCCAAGATCTTAAACTTATTGATTATAATATAGTGAACACTGAAGGTTGTCTGATGTTTTTATTATTTTTGTAGAGAGACTAAAGTTTTAGCACATTTGCTGTTGTATATAACCAGGTTTTTGCCACTTTTATAAATTATCTAGAACAAAATTATTTGGAAAGATCACCAAAAAATAAATACATTTGTTCACACATTAAAATAAATAAGTAAAACAAGCCAGGTATATAGACTCTATGGTAACAAGTAGTATGAAACTAAGAGGAAAACATAGTTGTGCTGCATTTGTTAGCAAACTTATTTTATTTCTGGGGCTTTAATGAAAATTTAAAAATGTCTTTAAATTTTTTGGCTTAAATCTTAGGTATTTAAAGAATATCTGAAGCTGCAGCTGCAGACCACATGCACTTATGTCGTAATTAGCCATAAGTAGCTAATTACGTCATAAAAATGTTATATTTTAATGTTTTTTCTTATGGTTTTTAAGCCGTAAATAACATATTTTAAGGCCTAGTTTCTTTTTGTATGGCTGTTTTAAATTTATTCCTACCAGGCCTTTATGTTCACATTGACTGTTGAGCCTAATCACTTTATTTATTAATTATTTATATATATAATGTATATACATTTTTTCCACTATCACTCTGTCAGTTTCAAATACTTTTTCCAAAATGAAGGTAACTATTTTTTTATTATAGAGCATTAAATACACACCAATTAGACTTATATGCTTTAAAATGAATTATGATTTGATTTGTGGCAATTTAGGCAAAAGTTTTGTTATTTTTAAAAAAGTTATATGGATTAAAAAAAGAAATGCAATGAAGGTAGTGCTTCTTGAAAACAAACCTCAAGTGAAAGTCCACCCAAAGTAAAACGAACTAAAATATTTTAAGCTGCTTTTCTCTCGTGACTTTGCCTCAACAAATAAATAAATACTGATTTTAAAATAACTTCCTTGACAGAATACTCATTGGGAGCCATCTTGCACGCGAAAACCCTGTGTTGTTTTAGGGATGACTCTTAGCTACTACCATACTAAATATTCCCTCAAAAGCTGTAAAGATTACTTGGATTAAGCCATTTATTGTGTTTGTTGACATAACTGAGCTTCGAAGACCATCTTGAATGGAGATGACTCCACTAAACTCAGAGCGTTTTTACCTCCTCTTCCTCCCAGTCGATGAGGTCCCAGTCGTATGCGAGGACAGCTCTGCGTCTTTTCCAGAACTCTAGGAAGACTGTTGCTGCAGGACATACAAAATAATAATTATTACACACAGGCAAGCTTGTGAGCAAAGGAGTTACTCCTCATTGTTTTCAATCACATCAATGATTTCAGACAAATTTCTCCTGGAAAAGGCCACTTTTCAGAACATTTTAGTTTTTGTTTACAGATTATGCTAAAGTAAAAATGATCTAATTGATTCTACACTTCAAGTTCAAGTTCAAGGTTCTTCATTGCCATTCGCATCACATGTGGTACATGAGGTGGAAAGAAATTGTGTACTCAAGGTCCCAGTTACATCCAAAAATAACAAAATATAAAGTGTGAATAAAGAAACAGTATATACAGATCTAAGATAAATGCTAAATGATACGCTAAACTGTCTAAGATATACACTAAACACTAATACAATAATGTAAAAGACAATATGGTATATTAAACTGCAGCCCGGACATGAGTCTGTAGCAGATGGGTATGAATGAATACAGTACTTATAGTTTTAATGAGTGATGTCTCATGTCCTCCGTAGCTGAGGGATATTATGGTGTAGTGAATGTTTGTAGCTTTGATATGTTTTTTCGTGTCCAAAAATCTCATCCAAAAACGCAATTTTGGACAGTTACCCTACCATGCCATATCATTATTTATAAAGCACTTTAAACAGCGACAGGACCATCCAAATGGCTGTACAAACAGAAACAAACACGCAGAGCACATAGCAACATATAACAACGTAAAATCAAAATATAGAAAAAAAAAAATAGCAGATAATAACATAATGACTAGCACAGTGTGATGCATACAGGTTTAACACAAAGCATACAGTGTTGAAAGCCAGGGATTAGTAGTGGGTTTTTAAGCGATATTTAAAAGGTGTGAGGGAAAGGGTATGTTGTGTTTCCAGAAAATAGCACCTAGTGGCAGCAGATATAAAGAAAATAGAAGCGGACCGAGGATGGACCTCTGCGGTACACCCCATTTAAGCGCTGCCGATGCTGAACTGAAACCTTTGATAGAGACATAAAAGGTTCAGTTAAAACTGATTTTAAAGAGAAGAGAAAAAAGAGAAAGGGAGGGGTCAGTAAAGAGCACCGGAGTTTAGCTTTTTGTCATCCAGTGTCTTCAGTAGAAAGAGAGAGACATGAAGAAATGATAAAGCCGATAAATGAAAATGAGGTAGATATTTTTCATTTATCATGCGATTAATTGATTTATTGTTTATTGAGACAGGCCTAGTTGTGAATTATCCTGCATTTTTTCATCTTTGGTCTCCTTCCAGTCCACTAACAGGGAATGGTTCAAACTGCTTTCATCATCGTCATCATCATCATGTTTTTTGTCCCCTTAGAGAAATTTTCCTTGCAGCAAGGTGGCGAGAAAATTAAAACACAACACATAAACAATCACACCACAAATTTGGCAAACAGTAAAAAATCCATGTAAAATATCACTAAAACAGGCTGAACGACAACATCAAGCCTGGTTACATTTAAAATGTATCTGAATAATGGCCTGGCTGATAAAAGAGTCTCCATCTATTTGTTCTGGATTTGAGCTGCCTGAATCTCGTCCCAGATGGAAGGAGCTCAAATGTGCCATAGAAAGGTTGATTTGGAGAGTGAATAATGTGTTCTGCCTTTTGTAGGACTCTTTTTAAAAAAGGGTCTTTTAAATCAGGAAGTCTAACTCCTATATTTTGCCTGCTACTTTTATAATTTGCTTCATCCTGTTCTTGTCTCCTGTTGATCGACTACGGTGGCCCTAAGGTGTAAATGAACAACATTTGAAAAAACAGAATTACATTTGAAAAAACAGAATTACATCTGAAAAAACAGAATTACATTTGAAAAAACAGAATTACATTTGAAAAAACAGAATTACATTTGAAAAAACAAAATTACATTTGAAAAAACTGAATTACATGAAGGAAAAGCATAAGTGGCCAAAGCAGAAGAGGCAGGAATCACTTTTGAAAAACAGAATTAAATTTGAAAAAATGGAATTGTATTAAGCCAAAGCATACGTGGCCAAAGCAAAAGTGTCCGGAATCACTTCTGAAAAAACGGAATTACATTTGAAAAAAATGGAATTAGATTAGAAAAAAAACGGAATTAGATTAGAAAAAATAGAATTATATTTGAAAAAACAGAATCACATTAAGGCAAAGTGGGAGTGGCCAGAATCACATTTGAAAAAACGGGATCACATTAAACCAAAGCATACGTGGCCAAAGCAAACATGTCCGGAATCACTTCTGAAAAAAACGGAATTACATTTGAAAAAAACGGAATTAGATTAGAAAAAATAGAATTATATTTGACAAAACGGAATCACATTAAGCCAAAACAGAAGTGGCCAGAATCACATTTGAAAAAAAACGGAATTACATTTGAAAATACAGAAATTATATTTCTTGAATGATTCCACTTTTTCTAATGTGTTTTTTTTTTCTTTTTTCCAAATGTAATTCTGTATTTTCAAATGTTCATTTACATCTCAAGGTCACCATAACAGACTGCCAAACCAGGTGCTTAAAGCAAAAGTGAGTACAGATTTAATCAGAGTTGGAGCAAACAATCATCAACTTTTTACACACTCCAAACTCATTCAGTTTGCAGAGCAAGTGACGTTTTTGATGAGCTTTATTCTTTGTTCTGTAATTTCACTGAACGTCAGCATCTTGTCAATGACAACTCCCAGATATTTATAGGACGAAACACTCTCCACAGGTTCATCTTTGATGAGAACTGAAGGGGCTGGACTGGACTTCTTTCTAAAATCTATACACATAACTTTGGTTTTTGAGACATTTAATTTCAAATAGGAATTATCACACCTCATAATAAAATCCTCCACTACTTGACCAGGTGAGTCATCCTCTCCCTGTGACAGGCTGACACAGTGTCATCTGCAAATTTCAGGATGTGTCTGTTCATGTACTGACTCCTGCAATCACTGGTGTACAGGATGTACATCAGGGGAGAAAGAACACCGCCCTGAGGAGAACCAGTAGAAGAAAACGCCTCATATGACATAGAAATATTTACCCTGGCACACTGCGATCTATTAACCCTGAGACAACTTTGTTGTGATTTGGTGCTATATAAATAAACAGAATTGAATTAAAACCCATCCAGAAACACTAGGACACTGGTTAAAACCGGTCAGTAATTTACGAGCTAAAATGTGAGGCTGAATGTTTTGAAAGCAGAGGAAAAATCTACCAAAATTAAATGAACGTAAGTGCCGAGGCCATCGATGTGCTTAAAAATGAAGGAATGCTGAGTGATTAGACACTATTCATCACAACATACAGATTGGAAAAACATTATAAGGGAATCCACAAACACAGAGAAGCACTTAAATAATTGAATGGAAAACTCTGGAGCACTGATAAACCAGGTCTCTTTGATGTATAAAAACTGGTAATGGGTGTACCAGACAATACTCCACATTAAACAACAATGGGAAATGGAACTAAATGTCATTTTGGATGATGACTCTTGGGAGATATTTATTTTATTATTATTGGGCGGCTGTGGCTGATTGGTTAGAGCAGCCGTCCTCCAATGCTAAAGTTGGGGGTTCGAATCCACCAGCAGTCACATGTCGAAGTGTTCCTGGGCAAGACACTGAACCCCTCACTGCCTCTGATGTGTGTCCCATCAGTGTATGAATGTGATAAATCACTGATTAGTCTCTTTAGAATGATTTGTTCAATGATCTTGTAGAAATCTAGTAGAGTGCTGTATGAACGGGTAAATGAGGCACAGATTGTAGTGTAAAGCGCTTTGAGTGTCTTGAAATAAGATAAAAAAGTCCCTATATAAGTACAGTCCATTTACCATTTACCATTTATTTTGGTTGCCACAGAGGAATCTGGAGCCAACTCTGGAAAGAGCCTCATTGGAAATTCAATTTTTTATTTTTATTTTTTTCGAACCCCATTTAAGACTTTTCTTTCTGGGCATGACAATAACGGTGACTGTTGGAGAAATTGTGGTGTTGTGGGCGACCACACCCACATATTTTGGGACTGCCCTCGGGTGCAGGGGTTCTGGAAAGGTATCAAGGATGTGTTGGAAAGGTTATTGAAGATACAAATCCCTTTTGACCCTGTCATCTATTTACTTGATGAGTTCCCTGATCATCTCACCCATGACCAAAGATCTGATACGTATTCTCCTCATGACGGCAAGAAAAATGATCACGGTCAATTGGATGAAACCCGACTCACCAACTATTGATCAGTGGATTCCAAAAATAAGACAATTAACAGCTCAACTTCAATTTAATCCACAGAGCTTTGAAAGGCTATGGGGACCCATTGTTAACTTTCTTAAATAAATCTCTCTTGTTGTTTTTATTTGTAAATCAACCCTGTACAATGACAAATGTATATTGTGTTTTTGTCTTTGCTGTTGAAGAGATGGCCCAGTTTCAAGACTTAAAAGTTAGTATATAATTTGCCTTGTACTTGTTTGGCAATAAAAGTAAAAAAAAAAGATAAAAGAATGCAGAGTGATAGCGAGCGACGTAAGCTGGTATGATTGTCAAGAGGTTGTTGACAGAGTCTGAACAAAGTCCTGTGGATAGTTTACTTATTGAACTCGTGTTTACCTGCACTGATTGGTGGCCATTGACTATTTGAGTTTAACCACCTCTGCCATATCCACATTCCTTTTCATCACTCACCGCAGTGAGATGTTTGGAGCGTGAAGGCTCAGCTGTCTGACAGCAGGGAGCACACTTCCGAGGAACATCCTAATGAGAGGACTGAAGCTGATTCTCTGCTGCTGGTGAGAGCACAAAATAAAAGATTAACTCATTACGACAGCAGCGCTTACAGCCAGAAGAAGCAGACTGTAAGGTCAGTACTTTATGTTTCGTATCAGTTTTATTAAAATTACAAACTTTAGTCTGATCTGCCGACAGATGTTTGTGCAGCTGGGCAGTTTTCAACATGGAAGAATCTTTAGCAGGTTGTTTGTGTATGGATGTCTTTACAGTTGTCACTGT